TTGCTAGATCAAGTGCAGAAGCAGAATTTCGAGCTATGGCTCAAGGTATCTGTGAGTTATTATGGGTTAAAATCATTCTAGATGATCTCAAGGTGAGATATGAAGGATCTATGAAGTTACTTTAGGATAACAAGTCAGCTATTTGTATAGCCCACAACCCATTTCAACACGATCGAACCAAACATATTGAGATTGATCGCCATTTCATTAAAGAGAAATTATACAGTAGACTGATCACTACTCTATATATTCCTTCTGGTCGTCAATTGGCTGATGTCTTAACTAAGGGTCTTCCTCATGATAGATTTCAAGAACTTACTACCAAGCTGAGAATGATAAATATCCATTCATCAGCTTGAGGGGGAGTATTGTAAATATTAAAATTATTTTATTATTATTTTGTAATAGTTAGAATACTCTATAAGTGTATTTGGGCTTAGCCCATTAGGTTTTTCAGTCTCTTTAAATAGAGAACTCTTGTACAAATATTATATAATTCAATAATATACAAATCTTCTTTCCTAGTGATACCAACTCCAATCTGGTAGTAAAGTACTTCACTTCACTGTGTATTTGTGTTTTGTGTTTTAGATCTTCAATAATTTTACATGACGTGAGTAAAGGGTGAGTTGAAATTACATGAAATTACTGTTAGAAATTAGAATGAAAGAATATATAGTTTACGTTCTTTGCTTCGATGTTGTTGCTTGGTATGTAGATTTACAGACTGATTGGATGGTTTTTTTTCGGTTATGTAGATTGTAATGTAGAAGTAATGCATTATTCTTCTTACTTTACTGTGTCAAACTGTTGTTACTTGGCTAGATAGTTCCATTTATTACTGTAATTTTTTTTCTTTGAAGAAAAGACTTGAAAATAAAAGAGAATATATTATTAAGTTGTGTATAAACTGTACAAAGGGTTCTCTATTTAAAGAGACTACATGACCTATTGGGCTAAGCCCAAGAAAGATTCTAAAATACAACAAGAAATAAAATAATTATTATTATTTACAACACTCCCCCTCAAGCTGAGGAATAGATATTTATCATTCCCAGCTTGCTAGTAAGTTTTTGAAATCTATATGAGGGAAGTCCCTTTGTCAATAAATCAGCTAATTGACGCCCAGTGGGAATGTATGGAGTGACAATCAACCCGCTATCAAGTTTCTCTTTGATGAAATGGCGGTCGACCTCAATATGCTTAGTCCGATAATGTTGAACTAGATTATGAGCTATACAAATAGCGAACTTATTATCATATATCAGCTTCATAGGTCCCTCACATTTTACTTTGAGATCATCAAGTATAATTTTCAACCACAATAACTCACAAATGCCTTGAGCCATAGCTCGAAATTCATCTTCTACACTTGACCTAGCAACTACATCTTGTTTCTTACTTCTCCACGTCACCAAGTTACCACAAAGAAACATACAATAACCAGTGGTAGAACGACGGTCAGTCACAGATCCAGCATAATCAGTTCAGTGTAAATTTTTAAAGAGAGATTGCCATCACGCCGGAATAATAGTCCTTTATTAGGATTGGCTTTAAGATACTGAAGAATTCTATCCACTGCCTGCATGTGTTTTCCCTTTGGATTATGCATAAACTGATTGACAATACTAATAACATAAGCAAGGTCTGGTCTAGCATGAGCCAGATATATCAGTCTCCCAACTAGTCGTTGATATTGTCCTTTATCAACTGGAGGACTCTCCTCTTCATAACCCATCTTGTGATTATGCTCAATAGGAGTATTAGAGGGTTTACACCTAAGCTTTCCTGCTTCTTTAAGAAGATCAAGGACATATTTCCTCTGACTGATAGAAATTCCTTCCTTTGATTGAGCTACCTCTATCCCTCGCAAATATCTCAGTTTCCCAAGGTCTTTAACTTCAAACTTAGAGGCTAGTCGTGTTTGCAGAATATGTCTCTCCATAATATCATTGCCTGTTATAATAATATCATCAACATACACAAGGAGCATAATGAGCTTCCCATCTTGGCACTGCTTAAAGAAAAGAGTGTGATCTCTTTAACTCTGTTTATATCCTAAGGTCATCATAACCTTAGTAAATCTCCCAAACCAGGCACGAGGTGACTGCTTTAATCCATACAAGGATTTTCTTAATCTATAAACTTTATTTTCTCCGTCCACAAAATCAAAACCAGGCGATATTTCCATGTAGACCTCTTCTTCTAACTCACCATTAAGGAAAGCATTCTTCACATCAAATTGATTTCTCTCCCAATTGTAATGGGCAGCAAGAGATAAGAAGACTCTCATCGTATTCATCTTTGCAACTAGAGCAAAATTTTTTTCATAATCAATGCCATAGGTCTGAGTGTAACTCTTGGCGCTAACCGAGCCTTATATCTCTCAAGAGTATCATCAGAATTATACGTCAGGGCATAAACCCATTTGCACCCTACTGCTTTCTTTCCATTGGGTCTATCAACAATCTTCCATGTTTTATTTTTCTCCAACCCATTCATCTCCTTGTGCATGGCTTGAGCCCAATTCTCATCTTTTAATGTTTCATGTACTGATTTTGGGATTGAAGTAGAATCTAGTGCTGAAACAAGGCTTTTGTGCTGCACAGAAAGGTTAATAGAAGAAACAAACTGAGAGATAGGGTATTGAGTACAAGAGGGACAAGAGGAACAAGATTTTTTTCCTTTTCTTGGGGCAATGGGTAAGTCATCAGAAGTATTAATATCAGGATCAGAAACCAGAGATTCAGGACTTACCATTGGTTCAGACGATTGAGGTTGCTGGTGAAGCAGTGTGGGTTGTTTCCTTCTATGATATACCAACTCAGGTGTCACAATCTTCTGTATCTCTTGTGTATTTGATGGATCAGACACAAGAGGATCAGAAACAAGAGGAAGAGGTGAAGGAGTAGACACTGAAGATCCAGACTCAAAGAAGGAAGGTGATGAGTTTTCTGAAGAACTGTTCTCCCCCTGAAGATGAGGACCTTGGAAAAAAGACTCAGATTCATGAAATGTAACATCCATTGAAACAAAAAAATTCTGACCGCCAGGGTGATAACACTCATAGCCTTTCTTATCAAGGGCATAACCAAGGAAGGCACATTTAAGAGCCCTAGGATCTAACTTTCTACGATGGTGTTTATGAACATGAACAAAGACAACACACGCAAACACTCGTGGAGGAAGACTCTGCATAGTGGGAACAGAAGGAAAAAATAAAGTTATTGAGTGAATGAGACTTACATTGTTGAGAACCCGAGTGGGTAAGCGGTTAATCAAGAACGCTGCAGTAAGAATGACATTTCCCCAATAGCATTTGGGTACATGTGTCTGAAAAAGTAAGGCAGAAGCAACTTCAAGAAGGTGACGGTTCTTTCTTTCAACAACCCCATTTTGTTAAGGGGTGTCTACACAAGTAAGTTCATGAATCATACCTTGACTTTAGATAAATTGGGAAAAATAGTGATTAACATATTCAATTGTCAGTCTTTAGTCTTTTGATTCTTTTACCAAATTAGGTCTCAATCATTTTATAAAATTGAAAGAAATAGTTGTGGTACCTCAGACTTTTCATGCATTAAGTAAACCCAAGTTACACGAGTGAAATCATCAATAAAAGAAACAAACCATTTATTACCAGAAGTATGGAGGACTTTAGAAGGACCCCGAATATCAGAATGAATAAGATCAAAAGGTTCAACACTTTTAGTAATACTAGAAGGAAAAAATACACGATGATGTTTAGCAAACTTACAAACATCAAATGAAAAGACTTAACAGACTTAGACAAAAACAATGATGGAAATAAAGACTTGAGTAAACTAAATGGAGGATGTCTCAAGCATTTATGATGAAGCCAATTAAGAGAATCAGCAGTTGAAAAGCCATGAGACAACAAGATGTGATCCTTAACATTATTTGTAGAAGATTGTGGCACCAGATAGTACAGCCCACCTTGCTCTTTAGCACCCCCATTTGTCTTCTCCGTGGCGAGATCCTGAAAAACACAGTGAGTAGGGAAGAAGGTTAGTGCAATTCAAATTTTTGATAATTTTATGAATAGAAAGAAGATTAGTAGAGAGTTTAGGAACATGAAGATCATCTTTGAGATGTAAGGAAGGCTGTAAATGTATGTTACTAGAACCCGCAACTGATGTGTGTGAGCCATCAGCTACGGCTATTGTATGAGTGCCAATAGTAGGGTTACAAGAAAGAAAGGAGTCAGCACAACAAGCTGTATGATCAGTAGCACCAGAATCAATAACCCAAGAATGTTTAAAATCAATACAAGAAGTAAGAAAAGAATGAGTATTGGAGCTCATACTAGTCATAGCCAAAGCACTAGTACCTGATGGCTTACTCGGAGAATCAAGGATGGTTCGAAGCCGCTCCAACTCATCTGACGAAATGCAGGTTGGACCTCATTAGGTGCAGTAGCTATATCAGGGAAAACTAAATGAGCTTGACCATGCATCCTTGCCATCTTTTCTAAGACCTTTTGCTTTCCATGGAGGCGAAAACATAGATCCTTGATATCACCTGTCCTTCTACAATAAGAACACCAGCGATCATCTTTCTTAGATTTAGAAGATGCTTCATCAGTAATTTTTATGAAAGAAATCCCTTGTGAAGAACCATATCTTTTTGTTGAGATCATAGCAGACCTATCAATGGGTTTAGAAGTAATAACATCAGATGACGACAGCATGGCAGACTTATCTGATGTGATAGAGTTCATTATAACTCCCCGATGAGTCCCGAACAGTATTGAAAACAGCAGAAATGGATAGTAAAATATCTTTGCCAAGTATCTGAACCCGAATAGGATCATACTTGGAATTCAACCCAACAAGGAAATCAAAATTACGCTAATTTTCCACCTCTTCGGCTAAGGCAGTAGCATCTGCAGTACATTGCATCTTCAAACTCTGAAATTGATCAAGCTCAGTTCATAACTCCTTCATAATACCATAATAAGCAGTCACAGATAAGGAGTCCTATTTAGTAGAGAAGATTTTATTGCGCAATTCATAGCGCGCAGCCATATCCTGTTTCAAAGAGTAGGTTGAGTGAACACTGTCCCAAATCTCCTTAGCAGAAGACAGAAACATACAGTGACGACCTACTTCAGGAGTCATCGAGTTCCATAACCAAGTCATGATAAAGGAATCTTCATTATCCCAGACAGCAAACTTCGGATCATTATTCGCAGGAGCAGGGCCATCAAGATGAACAATCTTATTGCGACTCTTGATGGTAGTGCGAATAAGCTGGGATCATGACAAATAATTTGACCCATCAAGTTGATAGCTTTGACATAGCTTAGGAAGATCATTGTGGCCAAGCGTGGTATCACCAGACTGTGTAGTTTGCGAAACAGTTGACTCACCATCAATATCGGCCATACTGCAAAGAGAAAGTTAACAAACAGCGATACAATCAACCAAACAAAAAACCAAATGAAGTTTGATCAGCGAAAAAATCTAGATCCAGATAGAGAACGAAGAGACGAGAAAAATGGAGGTGGTCCGAGGCAGAGACACGACGGCACGCGCTGGTGAAGCTGACGATGCGTGGGTTTCACGCGCAGAAGAATGGGTGGCGCGTGAGAGCGCGTGTGGAGGCTTCTGCAGCTGAGATTTTCATGGCGTGGTCGTCCGGTGAGCGCGCACCTGTCTGTGGCTGGTCGAAGTTGAAAGGTCGCCGGAAAAGTTTCCAAACATTGTAAACAGATCTGGTTGGAGGCGGTCGAAGGTGTTTGGGTCATTTGCGGCTGAGAAACAGTGCGTAGAATGATAGATCGAAGAAAAACAAGGTCAACAGTGGTCCTCTTGGTCCAAAAAGTCCCCGAATTTTTTTTTCCGGTGGCGGTTGATGGCAGCAAGAGGTAAAGAAATAAGGGTTTTTCTCTAAAGGCAATAGGCGCGAAAGCAGAGCCCTCAAAATCGAGAGCTCTGATATCAACTTGAAAATACAAAGGGAATATACTATTAAGTTGTGTATAAACTGTACAAAGGATTCTCTATTTAGAGAGACTACATGACCTATTGAGCTAACCCAAGAAAGATTCTAAAATACAACAATAAATAAAATAATTATTATTATTATTTACAACAAGAAGTATCCATCTACTTGTGAGTTAGTTGCTTCGGTCACTGGTTAATGACCAAGTCCATGACTATGATTGTTCTCATTTACTGTTATATTTCATTAGTGTAGGCATTTGGTGGATGCCCTAACTAGAGAATCTTATTCTGAAATAAATGAAGACATTCCACACTGTAACTTCTATCAAACACGTTTACTACAAGAATCACTTGGTGGAAATTCCAAACTCTCATCAATATGTTCCATCTCCCCTGATAACAAGTATTTACCTGGATCAAAGAGCATAATATGATCACGTGTAAACTGTAGTAGCCAATTATTTTTGAGTTCTACAGATAAAGATTGTAGGAGTAATGGTGAAACACTGTGCACACTCAGATTTGAAGAGCGAGTAAGGTCCGTTACAAATGAGCCAGTTATTATTATAATGAAGGAGGCTGACATTGATTTGAGTGATAAAATCCGGCACTTGGAGTTGGAGGTATATTCCAGGACTTGTTACTGGAAATAGTTTTTGAAGGATTACCCTAATGCAAATCTTTGAATTACAATGTGTTTTCTTTAGATTAGGAAAAACTTACTAGAGCAAAGGCGGATGTTCTTAGCTCAGTTGGGAGAAAAAATGGATGCTTCCAAGGATATAATGTGCGCGAAAGCCTTCATCAAATGAGAGTTAGCTCAAACCGCTCCCTACTCCTACCTAACATAGATAATGATACTGATTAAGATATTAATGTCAATGAGAATGACATAATGCAATTATGCCAGAAAATAGATGAGTTGGGCTGTTCATGTGAAGGGAATCCAAAAGACATATCTGTCAGTGAAGTTTGTGTCCAGTTTTATTCTGTTGAGGAAAATTATGATGCAAACACGATCAGTGGTGATGAAATTGAAAAGTTTAGATATGTTATGGCAAAACATTGAGTAAGCCTTGTCATGAGGACATTGTGCCATCAGCAGATAACCTTGTATGCACAGCTAACATCTCATCGGCAAATAATCTACATTCAGAGATAGCATATCTGACCACCAAATATGTGAATCAACTAGATAGGAGTTGTTTCAGCTTAACCTGTGATCTCGAGTGAGTCCCAACGAACGCAGCTTACCTCATATCAATGTTTACAATGAATACAGGAGCACAGGTATAAATACATACATGTATATGACTTACGGTAACAGTTATAGCATGATTGTCTCCATTTGGTATGAGTACTGTGGTTGAGAAGATTCAGCTTATGTTCTGTCTCAATTTATTTCTGATTCGTATTTTTGATTACTATATTTCTTATATTATACTGGAGAACTTTGCAAATGGAGAAGCTAAAAAGAAAACACGAAACAAAGATTAACACCATATTAGCAGAGTCTGACTGCAACCACTGTATATATAGGATTCTGATGTGGTACACAACAATGCAAATTCGGAGAGCAGAATTTGGAGCTATATATGAGGACCACTACTAATTCAACTATTGTTGTTGCAGTTAGCAATTGATCACGCATAAGATCAAATTTCCAACCGTTAGAAATTCATTTTATTTTTTCCATGTTGTGTGCAATCAACAATTGGTTTATGGAACTTCAGTTGTTTTTTCTTCTAGTCCTGCAATAGGCAATATAGTAGAACCTTTGAATTCTTATTCTTTACCGCTTGAACTTTCCTGGTAAGTAAAGCTCTTAGTGATGTCTTTTCATTCCCCCTCTATAATTATTACATGTTGAGAAAACATTTCACGAAATGCAATATGAATCAGACGTGGCACATATACGCACTCCAAAATCATGTTTTGCACTTGGTATATGGTATGATTATTTATGCATTCGACCCGATTGGTCTAATCCTGTTTCGTAATAATTTTAGTTTAATGCCATTAGCAGGAAATGGCAGTTCTCTCTTTTATGTTGTTAAAACAGAACCATTTTGAGGTAACATTGTTGCTTTGATTTATAGTGTCAGAATACGTTTATGATCAGAATTCCAGGAAAGTAAATTGTTATAACATGTTGCACGCATTAAATATCACAAACTGTAACTTTCATATGCCTTTGTCAAATAAAGGCAATTCCATATATTCTCTTTATTTTCGGAGTAAGGTGCCAAATCTGAAGCAAAAAGAGACAATGCTGCCATTTTGAATGTAACAGCCCCAAACCCTATAGCAGGATATTGTCCGCTTTGCCCCGCGCACAAGCACCGTCGAGCTCACGGTTTTACGTTTCGGGTTACCCCCAAAGGCCTCCTACAAGGAAAGGTATCCACACCCTTATTTAAGGCATGCTTCGTTCCCCTCTCCAACCGATGTGGGACATTACATCCTCCCCCACTGGGAATACAGCGTCCCCGCTGTACACACCGGTCCAGGGCCAGGCTCTGATACCAAATGTAACAGCCCCAAACCCTGTAGCAGGATATTGTCCGCTTTGCCCCGCGCACAAGCACCGTCGAGCTCACGGTTTTACGTTTCGGGTTATCCCAAAAAGCCTCCTACAAGGAAAGGTATCCACACCCTTATTTAAGGCATGCTTCGTTCCCCTCTCCAACCGATGTGGGACATTACATTAAAGGGAAACATGCAGAATCTTGAGTTTCAAAGCACAGGAAGCCCAGAACCTATCAAGTGAGAACATAATATTAGTATAGAGCATTACAATGGTAAGACTATTGATAATAAAATAAATTGCAACTAAATAGCTCTCGAGGGCCCACAACAATATCTTATATTTCTTATTGCTGATTAAATACTTTTGTCCTTAATTTCTAATTTATATTGAGTGATGCAGAATAAACATAAAAAAAAAAGCATATACTAAAAGAAAAAAGTGGACAAACTGGACAAAATATTTTGTTAGATAAAGATGCACTTTTTATGACTAAACAGTAAACATTAGTAACAATATCATTATGCAGTAATGAGGAAGAAGAAGGCACACCTCTTATTTCAGAAGTAGTATGCTTTCATATTATCAACTCCTTGTGTGCTGAATAATGTGGGTGTTTTGTCCTTGCCCTTCTCCTGGAGTATCGATTGTAATTCTTACAAGGGGAACATGCTTGATGACCGAGTGCTCTTCTCCTTCATCAGCAGCAATGATCTGAATAAATTCATCAGTTGGCAAGCCATAGATATCAAGGACTTCAAGTTTCTTTAAGTATTGGATGCCAGAGGGTAGTGTCTTGAGTTCAGGGATACTAATTAGCTGGAACATCTTCAGAGAAGGCAATGCTCCTTTGTCGATAAAGATGGAATTCAATTTGTGTAAATACTTAAGGTATAGTTCCTTTAGTTTCTGAAACCCTCCTTCTTGAAAATGCAAACTTTCACCTTCATATGAAGAGAAGTAGAGACCGAGGAACAACAAATTTGGCACGTTTTTTAGTGATTTCATTGGATCATCAGCTAACCTGGACAACGTCAAGGACAATTTAACAAGATTCTGGAGCTCTGGAATCCACTCTGGCATCTTACTTAACATTCCATAAATGAAAAGCTTCCGAAGCTTACGAGGTGGGGATGAAATAAAATGCAAATCAATGCTATCTTTTCCCTGAATTTGTAGTTTCTCCAAGTATTGCATCTCATTTACTGAGGAACATAGGGTGCTTCCGTGTTCTTTCCTAACACCAGTGATGTGCAACTCCCTTAACTCCATTAGCTTTCCCAGCTCTCTAATTAGCTTTGCTCCACCTCCATCATCATTCACTTCATTCAACGTTTGTAGTGATGTCATGAGTCCAATACAATCCTTCAATTGAATTAAAGACGTCGCACCACTCAGACGAAGATGTCGTAGCTTTTCAAGCTTGCTAATCTCCCTTGGCAATTCATGGAGATTGGTATTCCTTAGATCCAAAGTCTCCATATTCTTCAGCTTACCAATGGATTTTGGAAGATTAGGCAGTAAAATTGCACCCCTTAAGCTTAAATACTTCAAGTGAATAAAATCCCCAATGCTCTTAATAAAATCCCCCTTGAGCTGCTTTTTTCTAATTTCAAGCTGTTCAGGTTCAACAAGAAGTAATTCCTCGTCTAGTTCACTACAAAAATGGACTTTTGCATTTTCAAAATCAAGTACCTTTAATGGCTTGTGTTTTGTAACGATTATCCTTACAAAGTCTGCAGGTAAATCTCCACCTTTGAAAACAAACAGTGATCGAACGTCTGAGCTTTCAATACTTCTTACACTTTCAGTACTTCTTAATAAACTATGGGCACTGCTTGATATTGATAGGCGCCTAATTATCCCACTTAAGTCTGACCCACCATCTTCACTAATAAAGTGGCAAAAACTTAAATCCTTAGATTTTCTAAGGATCATGTCCCGCAAAAGGTCATGAATGCGACAACTTGTAATTTTGCCATCAGTGGTAAACGAAAAGACTTGCACTAAACTTCTACTAACCAATTCTATTAAATATTTGTTTGCAATTTCTTCCAAAATTGTTCTCCCTTCCTGTTTGACAAATCCCTCAGCTATCCATTGTCGAAACAATTTTTTTACTTTAACTTCATAGTCTTCTGGATATATTCCAAAATACAAGAAGCATTGTTTGAGATAGTAAGGCAAATCATGATAGCTGAGAGCTAAAATCTTTGTTATAGCATCTATATGGGAATTCCTCTTCAACTCTAAGCTCAGATTTTGACTAAGAGATTCCCATTCTAATGGATCTTTATCTTTGGTAGATAAAAGACCACTAATGGCCACAATTGTTAGTGGTAAACCCTCGCATTTTTTTAACAATTTCGGAAGATATACCCATAAGGCTTTGTGGACAACATCCGTTCAAATCAGACCCGAATGCCTTCCTACAGAACAACTCAAAAGATTTCTCATGAGTTAATGGTTGTATTTCATGCACTTCAACACAAGAAGTTTTTTTACAGCAACTAGCGACACGCGTATCTCTAGTTGTGATAAATATTCTGCTTCCATTTTCATTATCAATTAAAGCAAATTCAATTTGATCCCAGAAATGTTCATTCCATACGTCATCAAAGAAGACTATATACCTTTTTTGTTGCAAATAGCTTCTTACTTCCTTTGTCAATGAGTCTCGATTCACTTTAGAAATATTGGCAAGAAGAACCTCCTTTTCCTTGCAAAGTTGTTGCAACATGTCCCTCAACAATCTTTCCACAGTATAAGATTGTGATACTGTGACCCATGAATGGCAATTAAAGTGCCCAGTCACCTTATTGTTGTCAAAAACTTTTTTGGCAAGAGTGGTTTTTCCCTGTCCTCCCATTCCTACGAGAGAGATGACAGTGCGCTTTGATCTTCCCTTTACCAACCAACCAATCAATGCAGCTTTAGGGGCTTCAAAGCCCACAACATCATCTTCCTCAATGTAAAAAGGAAGCATTCGAAGGTTATGCAATGCAAGGTCTTGGTTTCCTCTAGAACTTTCTGGTGCTTGTTCCAAAGAAGATTGGATTGGGAAGCCATCTCTTTCACTTCTTTCCTTGATTTCACAAACTTGTGATTTAATGGTCTTAATCTTAAATGCTATTTGAAGGCGAAGGATCATAGTTTTGATGAAGTCAGCAGGCTCACATGGTAAAACTGCACAACCAGGATCAGAAGGTTGTTGTTCCTCACAGGAAATATATTCATCAATGACATCTTCCATGCGAAAAGCTGTCTCCCTAAGCAACTTCACCCTTGTTTTGATTCGGTCACGTGTTTTGTCATCTTCAGCTTCAGCCTTTCTATCTGCATCATTGATGAAGGCTTCAAAGCTTTCTAGTTCATTTTGAATGTCAGCAATTTCTTTTGGGACACTATTCATGTCTACTGCTCCCATTAGTAGAGGAAACACATAATCATGAGCAAATGGCCACACCTTATCCAACATTTTGGTCTAGTTCCGATTTCTGCTAGATAATGGTGAGAGCAAAACTTTGTTATTCAAGATTTACATAAGGTTAAGTTCATACTGAAAGGAAGACTGAGTTTTCTTTGGTCATTCTTTAATAATTATTGAGCAAGTCGGATTTAGATAATTTGTAATTGTGACTCTACAATGTCCATATTTTTACTGTTTAGAGTGGCCATGCTTGTCATTCATAGTTTGGTTTCAGAGACAGCTTGGAGCATGTGATGCCAAAAACGAAGAGTTAGTCTTGGTTTTAGAAAAAATTATGACAATTTTTATATATATTTTTTGAGATTAGTGTTTTTCTGTCATCCTTGCTACTGGATTTTTTGGTTTTGGGTTTTGGCTGGTTGTAACTCTTTTACATTTAATCAAAGATGCCATGTGGTTGTTAAATGAAATCTCATATAGTATTGGCGGTATTGGTAGCAAAAAGAAGAGTTCTTCTTGGCAGTGTTATTAAATTTGATTCCGGCATCGATCCGGTTGGGATATTGGGTCACTGGATTACTGAACGGATCGGTGGGTCACTAGTCGGACCGATTGACCTAGATATATATAAATATATAAAAATACATATATATTCAATGAATTAAGCAAGGTTCACTAAATAAGCTAAAAAATATGGAGCATAAATAAATAAAAATACACGTTATTACTATGTCAATTCAAATTACAACTCAGAATCTCCATAAACATACCTCTTAGTGACACTGAAGTTATATTTTTCAAATTCAACTACGTTAAAATGACATATGTTACATTTTTCTTAATTTATTATTCCGCAAATTACTTTAGTATTGGAAACTGAAATTTGAGGTCATTGTAAATAGGGCCGGCAAAATGGGCTGAGCCCGCCGGGCTGGCCCGCCCCGCCTGCCAAATAGGGCGGGCTGGGTTGAGTTTTTCAACCCACCCGCCCCGCCAAACCCGCCAGCCCATATGGGTCAGCCCGCCACGGGGCGGGCTAGCCCGCCAAGTCCTTTTTTTTTTTTTTTTTAGATTACCCAATTGTTATGTAGCTCCGTATCGTAGATTTCTCTGCATGCAAGTGGCTTTTTTGAATTGTTGTGGACTGCTCATACAACACTTTGTTACTTGTTTTGTTACTCTATTTTATCCTGATATGATTTTATTTTTTTATTATTATTTTTGGATTGAAAGATGCATATTTATATGCAGATTATTAAACACTGATCTTCTTGGTTTCATAAGTACATTAGGATTTTATGCAAATTTTTGTATGCTTTTATGCAGATTTTTTTATGTGATTTTATGCAGAATTTAATTTTTTGTATTTTATTTTTATATATTTTTTATTTTAGGCGGGCTGGCCCGTAGCCCGCCAGCCCACTCATAAAACGGGCCGGGTTACTCAATTCAACCCATTTTGTCAAAACGGGTCGGGGCGGGCCAGCCAATTTTGGGCGGGCTAGTGGCGGGCCGGGTCGGGCCGGGTCGGGCTGGCCCATATTGCCAGCCCTAATTGTAAATGAGTATACTAGCAAATAAAATTACAAAACGTTTTTAAAATGAGTTCTATGTTTTTTTCTGACAAGATGAAATAATTTTTGTTTTTTAGTTTTTTTTTTTAAATGCATAACCCGACCAGGTCACCGGGTCATTGGTTTTGACCTGGTTTGGTCTGTTTTGTCCGGATTTTGACCGGATCGATACATAATTGATCCAATACTTGACCCAAATCGATCCAATGACTGAATTGCCGGATTCCGGATCAATCCGACCGGATCGGGCCGGGTTTTATGACAATGCTTCTTGGTCTTAAAGAGAAGATATGACAGTTTTTATATATTGTTATTGAGATTCGTTATTTTCTTGCATTCATGCTCCTCGATCTCTTCCTTTTTTGTTTTGGATGGTCGTAACTTTTTTCCATTTATTGAAAGATGGTTTATAGCTTATACATGACATGGGGTTATACTATCTGACCGAATAATGTGGTACACCAATGATTTAGTCTATGTTTTATTCTACCCAAATAAATGTTATAAATCGAATAATAAATAAATAATTATTACGTAGGTTTAATTAATGTTTTTTTGGATTTTTCAATAAGTTTACGTAGTTTAAAAGTTTGTAATTAATTCTTCGGACTAACACATTTTCTCAAATAAATCCCTACTCCGTAAAAGTGTTGAAAACTAAAACTAAACTTATTTATAAGAAGGGTTTGCTTTTTCTGCCGTTACTGCGGATAAGTTATCTGCAGTAAACTCAATACGATATCGTTTTGCGGCGAAAATCATGATGTTTTGTAATTTTAATTTATTTCAGGGTTATAATAATCTTTATATTTATAATTTTTTAAGATTTCAATTCAAAACGATATCGTTTTGAGAATAAATGCAGATAACTTATCTGCAGTAACTGCAGAAACATTTTCCTTTATAGGGAATAAAATTTCTGCTGTAACTTCAGATAGTTATATCTACTGTGCATCTAAACGACACCGTTTTCGTCTTTTTTTAATTTAAACGAAATCGTGCTTCCTTCTTCTCTCTTTATCTTGCTATTACATCGTTTTCGTTTCCCTTCTCTGTTTATTCCTTCATCAACTACAGACATATAAAGAGGAGGAAAAAGTGTTTGTCATTTTAAATGACATAAAATTATATCATTTTAGGAGAGAGATAGACATAAGAAATTATTTTTTATTAAAAATTTAAATTAAAAAAATTCACCCACTTTCTCTCCCATGATTTTCATTTCTTGTGTCTATCTCTCTCCTAAAATGACATAACTTATGTCATTTAAAATGACAAACATCAAACTCGATAAAGCAATTTAAACTATTTTTTGTTTTGTGATATACATCATTTTAAATTTTAGAGCGTATTTTTGTTGATTGACAAACTTACTAAAACAAATATCAAAATAATACAAAAAAATGCTTACCACTATGGGGCTGCTGGTGCACGTGGTTTGTCAAGTGTGCGAACTGCAAAGCGTTAATCCTTTGCCTGAAAAGATGCAAAGAAGAAAAAAGCCACAATACAGCACAAAGGCGTTGTCATTATAATAAATATAATAAAGGGTTTTATTAATCTCATGTTAAAGGAGATAGTTATCTCATGTCACAGAGATAAATTTGTGGGCTCCACCACCTGAAAAAATAAAAGAAAAGAAAAGAAAAAGGTGGCACAGTTATCGAAGGGTGTGTAGGAGATAAAATGTATCTTATGTAACATAAGAAAAGTTTTTCCCTATAATAAATGACTAAATTAATATAAATAATTAACAATAAGTCAAATATAAAATAATAATGTAAATAAAAATAGTCAAATTAAAAAACAATAAATAAAATAAATAATTAGAAAAAGTAAATAAATTTTAAAACTATTAAATTATAAAATGCAATGATTAAATAATAAATGACATAAATAAATTTATCATTAAATAAAGGAAAAACTTCATTTGCACCTCTTGTGGTTTCAAGATATATCACCTAATCCCTTTTGATTTTTTTTGGGTAAACAATCCCTTTTGATTTCAAATTTATCACTCATATCCGTTATGGTTAAATAAATTTATTTTTGCTTACAAAAAAAAAATTTATTTTTTAATCTCCTTTAATTTCAAACTTTCACGTTATACTAATCGTCGTTATAAAAAAATATATTTTTGAGTCTGATAAATATAAAATTATTTATTTTTTCAAATTTTTATTTTATATAAATATTATATTATCAAAAAACATTATTAAAATTATTTATTTTTGATTAAAATAAAAAAATTTAAATTCATTTATTTTGAAACATTTTTTAAAATAATTTTGAAATTTTTTATTTATGTACCGCACATAATTAAAATTAAAAAATATTATTTAAGATAAGATAAAAACATATATCTAAATAAGTTATTTATATTATTTATTTAAATATTATAATGACATCAGATAAAATAATAGGTAACATATAATAACATTCGATTTAAATTTATTTTCATGATAAAAATAAATGAATGTTTTTTAAATTTATTTGGATTGAATGCACTAGATAATAGGTGTTTGATTATCTTAAATAATATTTTTTTAAATAAATTATTAAGTTTACAATAATTTCCAAATTTATAGTTTTAGATTTCTTATATTTTACTTTTTATAATTAATTTAATTTAATTTTAATAGATACTATTTATACTAATATAAAAAAATCACATGCATAAATCATAAGGATCGAACTGATATTATTAATTAAAAATAATTTTGAAAATAAATAATATATTATAATTTAAAGTAATTATTCATATAGACGAATATAAATGTTTTTAAATATTTTGATTTAACTCAAATTTATTTTTAAGATAACAGTTTTTTGGTATCTTAAATAATATTTTTTATTTTACTATAATATAAAATAAGTAATTTATATTTCTGGATGCATAATTTATTTTTTAAGATAGTTTTCAAAATATTTTTTAAACTTATAATTTTTATTTTCATCTATAATACTTATTTTTTTAATAATTTTATTTTGTAACATCATAATAATATAAGATAAAAATTATGAAAAACGAAAGATTCCATATGTATATAAGACCACAAGATGTTTAAGTACAATATTTGTAAAACCGTTTACTGAAAAAAAATATTTTTATAACCACAATAAAGATACATAATACTTTGAAAGCATATGAGATTAAATGATACAATTTTGTAATCACAGTGGGTCTGAACGACAAGTTTGAATCCTTAGAGATTCAAGTTGTAAACCATGTAACCAGGTGAAAATGAAGTTATGCATAAAATTTAATAAAAAATGACATAAATATCGACTAAGAAATATAATAAATGATAAAATTAATATAAATAATTTAAAAATTGTGATATAAAAATAAAATAACATAAACAATGATATTTAATACTAAAATATAATAAATCAGACAAATAATAAAATACATAATAAATGAACTAATATTATTAAATAATAAAACGTAACTGCCATAAATATTTTTTTTTA